CCTCTCCTCTCATTTCTCCCAAATTTCTCCTCAAAACTTTGTGAGAGATTTGGTATTCCCTTCATGCCTTCCGAAACTAGGCTTAAGCAACATACTCTCTCTTCCCCATATAATACACCTCCCTCTGTACTTTCCCATATTAATTGTAGGCTCCTTGCCTTGTTCCTTGTAAAATGCCAGGAATACTGATGACCTACCGTATTCATTAGTATTAGTAGGAGTACTACAAGGAAGTATTATTACTACAAGTAATATAACTATTACTACAAGGAACCCAGGTCTGAAGATGGCTCATCTTTTTTTTTCATTCCCATAGACATGACACTGATACTTCATGGCTATGTATGTTTCCTCTGCAATAAGTCCTGTTGTTTTCACCCAGTCTCACTCCCAGGTAAACACTTGCAGGACTGCAGGCTGAACAAAGTGCTTGGCCTGAAGGGAGAGTGTGAACTGATGCCATCAAACTGTGAGAAGGATGTTGGGGGAAGCAGAGAGGTCTGTTGCAGGATGTGAGGGATTTCCAGTCAGTTTGTGGCACATGGCATCAGCCTTTCTTGTCCTGGCAACCTAACTTGATGATATTTTGGACTTCCAGCATGCTGGGCCATTGGCTGCGCAGGCTTGGGCTACAGGGAGCAGGCTGAGGAAACCTCATCTGTGGTGTCTTGCAGGGGGCAATCTCCTGGCCATTTGAGTGTAGGCCTTGGAGTGGCCAGAAGCTTACTGTGGGATGTTGAGAGCAGGTCTCTCCCGCTCTTTCCCTCTCCAGCAAACCTGGATGAGATCTCAGAAGCACAGTCCTTATGAGAACTCATCAGGTCACAAAACAGCATAATTCAAAGTAGCAATTCTCCTTGAGAGGCGGGAGAAGCATCTGCCCATGTGAAGAATAGAATCCAGAATGAAACATTCTCTCCTTACCTCCCTTTCAGAAAAGATTCTGGCTCCACCCTCAGGGTGGCTCCCACTGAGGACAAGACAGTGGAAACACCGAGCACTGATTATCTGGTCCATTTGCTTTGTCTGTCATCTCCTGACTGGGCCAAGGTACTTCCCCTTGGCTCTGAAATGCCCCTGTCCTTTTCCAAGGCTGACTTTCACACTCCGAGTCCCTTCGCTACGTAACCTCAAACCAGCAAAATCATCTGCTCCTGCACCACCTCCTCAGAATCTGACAAATCTATTTGAGGAGACTAACTTGAGAAGTTGGGGCTCACACCTCTGTTTTCCTCATTTTTACACTATGGTACATCAAGCCTCATGGAAGAGCTTGGTTTTGGCAGCGGAATGCAGGGCAGAAGTGATGGCACCAAGATCAAAATGACAGAAGGTTTCTTCATACAGCTTGTGTATCTATGGATGTGATTGTGGGAAGAAAAAGATGGTTGCTTGCAGTATCTGAACCAGCCTTAGGCCTGCTGAATGATCCTAGGCCTGTTGCTCTTTCTCAGCATAACATACTTTGGAGGGTTGTTGTGAAGCTAAAATTGAATGGAGATCTTGTATGATAATTTAAATTTCTTGAAGGAAGCATGAGATTAAAATGTAGTAATAATAAATAAGATGCCACACAATTGCAAACCAACCCCCCCCCCCCATTTTTTAATTGCTACAGAGCACAGGAGAGACCAGTTTTCCTGGTGCGTGAGCATCTCTGAGCTTTTTCTTCTACCCTCTCTTAAAATGGGCTAGGGTTAGCTTGTACTGCAATCCCAATTTACCCCTGTTTGTTATGCTTCTTCCCTTTGCACATTCAAGACAGCAGACCATTTCTTTGCAAAAGCTCTTTATTCACCAAAGGCCACCCCACAAATGCAGTCTTCACAGAATGGATCCCTGTGCATGCACAGAGCAGTTTGTTGAACCCAATCTAAGCGACTACTTCCAGAAACCCTCCTTCTGAGTATGCCTGGGCCTGATCCCTTCTGAAGAGCCCATTTGGAAGTGAACCCATCTCCTTTATATGTGCTTATCCTCTAGTTGGTGATCCCTCCTTTCCCAGTGCCATGTTATGGGGTCAAGAGTCGTTCCAGGTTCATCTGACTCTGAGAGCAACTCTCCCATGCCCTCACCCAATGCCTGTGCATCTTGGCTATTCTCGGAATGGAGCTGAGTGCTTGGTAAGAGTGGCCTTGAGATAAGTGGAGCTCCTAACATCCCGGAGTCCTGAGCTCCATGTTCCTGAGCTCTCTCTGCCTCCTCCCTGTCCTTCTTTGTCTCGAAATCCAGATTGGCATGACCCGTGAGTGTACACCAAGAACAGCTGCCACCCTCATTCCCAGCACTGCTGTCCTTTACTTCCCCAATGTTGCCATCCTGGTAACTAGATTTAGGCCTACCCTGAAAGCCTACAGGTGAGGAACTGGAGTTAGCATTGCAGTTGGGTGTGTCTTAACACTGAAATATGACCCATCATTGAGCAGACTCTCTGTGTTTATATTTACAGACCTCTTCAAAATACCCACACAGGAATAGATCTGTCAGTCCCAGAATACCAGGAGATCAGGGGTAAAATGATGTCTGGTCACGTGGAATACAATATTGTAGTAGTAACCCAGCTGCCTGCATTTAAATCGGCAAAGCACAAACCAGAAGACGTCATTCAGTTTATGGTAACAACCATTTTTCAGCTTGCTGTGTATGTTTGTGTATGTGAGAGAAAATGGACAACATCATGAATGAATGGATCTATACGTGATTTTATATTGCTCGTGGCGAATGGCTAGTGATTAGACCAAGATGTGCTTTATGCAAATCCTAACCTGAAAGTTGAAATTATATAGTTCAAATTGTGATGACAGATGGTGTATCCTTGAGCTATGATCATTGGGTCAGTGTCCAAAAGAGTCACCTTAAATATTTTGTGCCTACTATTCACTAAAGCAATAGTGCCAATATATCACCAGATTCCCACGCTGAAAATTTTAGTCATTTCAAGTCCTGCACATGTGTTGTGTGTTCTGACATATTCATTTCTGTCACATTTACCCCTTGTGGAACAGTGCTAACAGAAGATAATTCAAGGAGATAGCGGTGGAGAAAATTGTCATTTATATTGGTGTCTTTGTTTTTAAGGATACATATAAATATTGCAATAGTAGATACCATGTAGGAAGAAAGCACTCAGTTGGAAGGCAGAGGAAGGCTTTGACCAATAGCTTGCAAGCTGTGGCAATCCCTGGTCTCCTTGGCCTTTCATTTTAATGGATAGCTGTGGAACAGTGTATCTGCACCCATCACTCAATGACTACCACATCTGACAGTGGTTTGCATGAGTGAAAGAATCTTTATAGCTCTGACAGGTATTCTCCCCTAAAAGTGATATGCTTCCATGGAGCCAGTTTGCTCAGTCAGCTGTCAATCAACAAGTGGAGAGAAGACATGTTTCACATATGCATGTGGGAACAGCCTTGATTTTCATCATATGATGGCTCTCCTCTGCATGTGTAAACCTCCCTTTACTGCAAAGCATGGTGCCTGAGAAAATGTGAAGAGAATGCCTCTCTTGACTCCTTCACACATGGAAATTGCCACTCGATGTCATCTTGTGGGGTTAATGCTTGCATAGCTTCCTTGTCTTCTTGCTAGGTACAGCCTGAGTTGGCCTTTTCCTCATTGGTGGCTTTCTCATGAAGCCATGCAACCTTAGCCATGGTACCTTGCTAGGCATCCAGTTGTTCTGACTTCCATTCGTTTCTACGGAGATAATTAAAACATTCCAGTGAAATATTTTTAGACCACCAAAATACTGGCATAGTTCAATACTTAGAATTCTTCAGCTACGTGCAGCTAGCACTATGAAGTTTTAGCTTGAGATCTTTGTGTAGATTTTTTTTTTTTTGAGAAAAATAAATGTTGGTTTGGGGACAGGTATAAAATCAATGTACAGTGAAAAGATACTGTTTTCACTATGACGTGGTATTATTCAGAGCTATTTAAAACTGATTTTACTAGCCCTGCTTTGCTGACTGCTCCTTTCTGGAATCCGTAAGTGTTTGCAAACTTGCGCGCGTGTGCGCACATCACACTCACACAAGGAAACATACTTGGCAAATCTCACCTGATTTTACAATTTAAATGTTTAAAAATCCCATTTAAAATAATCATAGGACCATAAGTAATTTGGGGCAAGTCAGGAGATTGAAATAATAAATAAAAGCCCCTTAAGAAATCACAGATACTTGTGCTTCCTCACTTTATTTATTTTATTTATTTTATTTATTTAGACAACTTACATGCTGCCCCATCGCATGAGCCTCGGGGCGGCTTACAGTCATTAAAAATCCCGTATAAAGTGCAAAAAATAATCAAATAAATAAAATACATAAAATAAAATAAATTTCCCCTCCCACACTCTCTTTCATACTTGTGTGCACACACAGACATGCATAATCGCGCACATCCCCTTGTCTCCTGTCAACTTGTCCTCTAGAGCCTGCTCCTTCTACGCGGCCCATCAATCTTGAGCTGGACGGGTGACCGAGCAATCCGCTTAGCTGTTGGGTGCCAGTGCTGGGAACTGGCTACGTGTTTCAGCCAGCGCCTGTTTAGCGAAGTATGAGGGAAAGTTGTGCAGCAAGTCGACTTGCTTCCCAACATCCAGAACAAACGAATCCCTGGCTACTTTTCTCAGGGATGCGGAAACACTCAGCAAACCCTCCGGTGTGAAGCTGAACAGTGGTGCCTTGGGATGGAATAGCACCGGGCAACTGCCAGCTTCGATGCTGGCTTTTTCAGGATGCCACGCTACCTTAGTCGTGGCACCTTGCTAGGCCCTCAGCTGCTCTGGAAGCATTGGGTCCAGAAGCTGAATCTGGTGCTATTCTATTTATTTTTATTTATTACAAACATTTATATCCCATCCTTCCAACAAACGCTCAGGACGGCTTACGCAGTGTATGCTTGCCTGCTAGAGTTCTCCCCGTTTCCCTGGCCATGCCGCTTGGTGGTTTCCTGGCTTTTGTGCTGGTGAGGTGGTTTGAGTGTTGCGATGAGAGCTTGGGAGTTCTAGTCCCCACTCAGCCACTGAGTGACTTTGGGTCCACCACCCACCCTCAGCCGAGCCTACCTCACAGGGCTGTTGCTGTGAGGAAGAAAACAGAGCTACGTATGTATGCCAGAGAGCAGGAAGGGGCCGCAAAGGCCACCTGGTCCCACCTGGTCCCATCCATGGCCAGTGCCGAATGCCTGCAGCTGTGGTGTTCCCTTTAGTTGGCCATACAGTCTCTGCTTAAAACCTGTAGCCAAGGGGTATCCCTAGATTTGGGCGCCCCTCCTTTCATGGACACTGAGCCAGGCTGAGGGGAAGCAAGAGGCTTGCTGGGCTATTTTCTGGTGTTGTGCTGGCACTTACAGGCCTCAACCAGCACGGTTTGGGGACAGATACAAAAGATCACTTTGATCCCTTGGTCTGTTTTGCAAAGGTTGAGGACTCTCACATCAACAAAACTGTCTCCTAGACTCTTCCTGGCACCCCTCCCCACCCCCCAAACAACACACACAGAATCATTTCTTTTAAACCTTCCTGGGTGAATAATAGATAGCTGATTGCTTGATATGGACCTGAGAGGCTTTGAAAGGGCTGGGAACTTTGTGCCCGTATGGAGAAACAGAGTTGTAGGTTGGGATGCCGACTTTTGCCTCCATACCAGACCTCTTCTGAGCCCTGTTCCCCCAGTGGCCCTTGCCCCTCTCCTGAGAAGCCGGTCCTGGAAGTGAGAGGCCCCTCGGGCTTGTGACATCCCGTAACTGTGGACTGGTATGCAATGAGCCGTTCCAGCAGAGGGCGCTTGAGCACCTTCCTTAGGCTGCATCCATCCCCTCCCGACCTCCTCCATGCCAACACGAACTGGAAGATCATTGCCAAGCTGGAGAGACAGTCACTGGCTGGGCATGCTTGCTTATGCAGAGGGTTCCCATTTGAAATCACCCAGTCCGGAATATGGATGAAGGAGAGGATTCCGATGTTGAGAACTATTTTCACTCTGGGAATCAGTAAGCAAGCTGGGGTGCTCTCCCATGTTTTAAACCAAGGGTTGATGGGGGTGGGGTGGGGGGTTGTTTCTTTGATGCACATGGAGTGACTGATTAAACTACATCCTATAATACAAGATGAATACCAGATAAAATAGCCACTTTTCTAAGCTGCTTTGCCTTCCCCCCAATCTTCCTCAGAATAGTGTTGTCTAGCTGTTCTCTTAGCCTAGAAAAGGCCTTCTTAAATCATCCAGCAAACCGTGAATAGATTGGCCTCCATTCACAATGGCCTTTAGGTCTTATTTGCTTCTTGTTCTGGGCATGGGGGCAGGCAGCATGTATTTCCAGCCCTTGGTTAGCACCACTTGGAATGTGTATCCCAAATCCTCCTCTTCTGATCCTTTCATGCATCATCTGGCTTGCCTTCCTGCTCCTGTCCAGGTTTCCCATTTGCTTGCTCTTGGCCTGCTGCTTCAGCTAACCTGTTAGGAATGAGCTGCTGAATGTCTGCCAGTCTTTTGGCTTAGAGAGAGCTAACTCATCACAGAAGTCAAAAGTATTCTCCATGCCCCTCCTTAGCTCAAGAAATCTGCCTCCCAGCTTTGTAACTCCCAGCCACACTGAAAAAACAAGATGTGCCTTGGCCTTTGTAATTTCTCATGGCACAAAGTCCCGGCTTTCGTTCTTCCTGCCTCCCCCACATCCCATCCTCTTTGTGCTCTTTCTATAACAGCCTCTGCAGCTTGGACTCACCGCACCTCCTTCCATTGCTGGAAGGCCGAAATTATTTTCAGGTGAAGCTACACTAGCGTCACCTCACTGCCTCTTTCACTTACCCATAACAAATGCCTGCACTTTATTACGGAGAAATAGAGTTGTAGGTTGGAATGCCAGGGCTTGTGTGCAAACTTTTGCCTCTGCACCCAGCCTTTTCTGGGCCCTGTTCCCTCTGTGGCTCCTGGCCCCACACAGGGCATTTATTATGCACTTGGGATCGCTCCCCATAGCTTGAGGCTGCTTTGCAGGATGCTGTTCTCTTCCAAGGGCCTTTAAGTCTTCATGCACCAGTGGTACTCACTGCTGGCACAACAGGGAGACAGAGGTTAAAAAGCCACCCACCCACTAGTGGGAATGCTCCCTTGTGGAAGGGGCAGGTCATCAGAGCCTGCAAGAAAGCACCGCAGACCTACTTTGATCCAGTAACCCATTGCTTTAGGGTTTCCTTTGAAGCCATTAAGTTTCTCCAGCATGAGCAGTTGGTTCAACACATGAAGCATGATCACCACATCAGATGTTTCTCCCGGGATTTCACCCTTCATTGTTAATACTGATTGTGTTTGCAAGTCACCACTTCCAAATGTTCCAACCTGTAGACTGATCTTGGACAACTCTTACATCTTTTTAATGTATTTTTTAATACATGCCCTTCAGGTCTTCATATATTTCCATGCTTCACTCCTTCAATTTGCTTTACATAGCTGTGTGTAGCTCTTCCTCTTATTTTTCCTCCAGGGAATTCCCTTCAGTTCTATCTTTGACAAATTCCCTGTTTCTTAGAGTGTCCCAGAAGCTGGGGACAGGGGTGGAGAATAGCTGTTGCCTTCGCGCCCAACTTGTAGGCCTCGCAAAGCACCTGCAAGTTTGGTACTGGAATTAGAATGCTGGACTCTCTTTAAAGTTTTAAGATGAATCCAAATCCATATTTGGATTCCAAATCCCCTTTTTGGCTCTGGCCTCTTGGCAGAGCAGCAGAGGCAGAGGCCGGGAGAGAGTGCTGAGTGGCCAGGGGACTGGCGAAGGCAAGGGAGGAGCTGGGCAGCGGAGCAGAGGGCCAGGAGCAGCGGAGAGGAAGGGGGCGGGGCCAGAGGGGCCAGAGGGGCCAGGAGGAAGCAGGGGGCGGGGCCACTGGCCTGCGGGGCTGATAAAGTGTCGTCCCTTGTCTGCGTCCCTTCGCTGTGGCCCAGGCTGCCCGGGGACTCCCTTCCCTGGGACGCAGAGGGTTTTGCGTTTTTTTGTTTTATTGCTCCGTCTGTCTGTCTGTCTGTCTGTCTGTCTTTCTTTCTTTCTTTCTTTGTGTTTTTGGTGCTGTGCTTTGTTTTTCCTCCAATTTAAATTTTATTTTATCGGTGTGTGTGTGTGTGGGGGGGGTTTGTCTGGGAGAACTGGGCGAATGAGGGGAACTGCAGGATGCACAAGGCGGGGGACCAAGGTAAGGTCTTGGAAGGGATTCCGATGGCAGACCAGGAGATGGCCTTGGTGGGAGTCACGGGTGTTGCTGTCCGCTGCAACAGTTGCGACATGTTCGCCCTTCTCCCCCAGGAGAGGCAGGGATACACTTGCCCTCGGTGCAAGTTGGAGACCCTGCTAGAGGAGGAGGTGAGGTGCCTGAGGACCTAGAGAGCTTGGGGGGGGAGCAGCCCCCCTCTGGACAGAGGGTTGAGGGAAAGGCCACGGGAGGAGCAGCCGGGGAGACATGGAGGCATGTCACCCACAGGAGGAGGAGGCCAGCACGGCCTCCTCCTTCTCCTGGCACCAATCTGGAGCTGGGAAACAGGTTCTCTCCGCTTGGGGAGGCGGGTGCTGATGAGGCCTTGGGGGACCAGCAGGACCCCCAGCCTGGGACCACAAGCGGCAAGGGAGCCACTGCAGGAGAGGCGAGGGCCAGGGCACAGCCACCCACCACCACTGGGATGATACAGTGGCAGGTGATTGTTGTTGGGGACTCCCTGCTGAGGGACACTGAGGCGGCGGTGTGTCACCCCAACCTGGAGACAAGGGAGGTTTGCTGCCTGTCAGGTGCAGGCATCCAGCATGTGAAGGACACAGTGGAGCGTCTTGTTCACTCCGGGGGTCACCGGCCACTCCTGGTGATCCATGTAGTCACAAACAACGTGGCCAGGCAGGGTGTGGTCAGGATCACCAGGGACTTCGAGGCCTTGGGGAAGAAACTCAGGGAGCTAAAGGCCCAAGTGGCCTTCTCGTCAGTCTTACTGGTCCGGGGATTTGGGCCAGGAAGGGACAGGAGGGCCTCCGAGGTGAACGACTGGCTTAGGGTGTGGTGCCAGAAGGAATGCTTCGGGTTCCTCGACCACGGCACCCGGTTTCTTGCCAATGGACTTCTGGCAAGGGACAGGTTGTACCTTATGAGGATGGAGAAAAGGTCCTTTGGAGATGCTCTAGCGAGCTTCGTCCGAAAGAGTTTAAACTGAGTCAGGGGTGAGTGGGTTCAGGCCCCCCAGAAACATGTCTGCACTGGACAAGTGTGGGGAGAGGATCACGGCTCTGGGAGTAGGGTTTTAGAGGTACTGCAGGGACTGACAGGACTCCTACAGAGAGGGGCCAGGTATCAGGGAGGATGGGAGGAAGGAGGAGGCTGGGAACTCCAAGGAAAGGAAGCAGTGGGAAGGAGTTGAGGTGCATGTACACCAATGCTAGGAGAATGGGTAATAAGCAGGAAGAGCTTGAAGCTCTCCTGGGAATTGGAGGGTATGACCTGGTGGGAATCACAAAAACTTGGTGGGATGAAAGGCAAGATTGGAATGTGAACATAGAGGGGTATCACCTTTTTAGAAAGGACAGGAAGGGAAAGAGGGGTGGGGGTGTGGCTTTATACATCAGGGAAGGGATAGGATGCAGTGAGATAGAATGCAGCACAGATGGGGATTCGGCAGAGGCAGTCTGGGTGAAACTTAGGGGTTTTGACAGGTAAAGGGACCTGACAGTGGGGGTATGTTATCGCCCTCCAGGTCAACTTGAGACCCTAGATGATGTCTTGACAGGCCAGATTCTAAGGATATCTCAGGGGAGAGACACAGTAATTATGGGAGATTTCAGTCTCCCAGATATTACTTGGGAGACTCACTCGGAGGTGACAGCCAGGTCACATCGCTTCCTAGAGGCTATAGAAGGAGGGTTTTTCACACAGAGGGTCTGAGAGGCGACAAGGGGGGGAAACATCCTTGACTTGGTCTTGACCAATAGAGAGGAGCTGATAGATGAAGTACAGATTAGGGGAGCTCTGATCAGGGGACTGGGGACGTGCAGCAGGTCAAGCACTAGAAGCTGGGACTTCAAAAGGGCCAACTTTGGCCAACTGAAGGCCAGGCTGGGGAAAGTCTCCTGGGATAGGTTACTGGAAGGTAAGCGAGTTGAGGAGGGGTGGATGGCACTCAAAAGGGAGGTTTTGGAGGCGCAAGCCCTGACGATACCTCTAGTCAGTAAGGTGGGGAGGTGGAGGAGAGCACTGCCATGGATGCAAAAGGAGGTGGTTAGAGGGATTAGACGAAGGAGAATCCTCCGTAGGAAATGGGTACTGGGGCAAATAGACAAAAGAGTATACCAGGAGGAGCAGGCCTGTTGCAGAATGATTCTTCGCAAGGCTAAGGCTGATTACGAGCTGAGATTTGCCAAGAATATCAAGAGCAACAAAAAGGGCTTCTTTCAGCATGTAAATAGGAAGAGGAAGGGGAAACAAGTGGTGGAACCACTAAATAAGGAGGAAGGAGATCCAGTGACTGATACGAGGGAACAGGCACAGATGCTAAATGACTATTTTGCCTCTATTTTGTTCTCCCCAAAGCTGGATGGGGGAGATCTGCATAGGAGATTAGATGAGGCCGAGGACTTAGGGGCACAGATTAGAGTCACCCTCCCTAGAAGTTGAGGGGCTCCTCAGGGCATTGGACATTACAAAGGCGCCAGGCCCTGGCGGGTTACACCCGAGAGTACTTAGAGAGTTGGCAGGGGTTCTCTCACACCCGCTGTCCTCCATTTTTGAGGCCTCATGGAGAACGGGTGAAGTTCCAGAGGACTGGAGGGTGGCATCAGTGGTCCCAATTTTCAAAAAGGGTAGTAGAAGGGACATGGGGAATTATAGACCTGTTAGCCTTACATCCATTGTAGGAAAAACAATGGAAAGGCTCATAATAGAGAGATATCTAGTGATGCTAGATAGGGAAGGGAGGCTGACAGCCACACAACACGGCTTCCGCAAAAACAGGTCCTGCCAGACAAACCTTGTGGAATTCTATGACAAGGTTTCGAGATGGCTAGATGGAGGGGACGCAGTGGATGTGGTACACCTGGATTTCAGCAAGGCCTTTGACAAAGTGCCCCATGATATCCTGGTGGAGAAACTGAGGAGTTTTGGGATATACCAAAGCACTGTCTGGTGGATTAGGGCATGGTTGACTGACCGAAACAGAGGGTAACCATTAGTGGGGAATTGTCGGGATGGCAGCCAGTGACAAGTGGGGTCCCCTAGGGCTCTGTCTTGGGCTGGTCCTGTTTAATCTTTTCATAAATGTCATGGAAGAAGGGGTGAACAGTCTGCTGATCAAATTTGCAGACGATACTAAAACTGGAGCAGCAGCTACAACTGAGGAGCAGGTACTTCAGATCCAAAAAGATCTGGACAGACTATGGAAGTGGGCAGGAGACAACAGGATGGCGTTCAATGTGGATAAGTGCAAGGTCTTGCACTTGGGGCATAGGAATAGGTGTCATAAGTACAGGTTAGGTGACAAGTGGCTGCAGAGCAGCACTTGTGAAAGGGACCTCGGGGTGCTGGTTGACTGCAGGCTTAACTTGAGTCAGCAGTGTGGTGCAGTGGTCAAGAGGGCAAACGCCACCCTTGGTTGCATAGCCAGAAGTGTGGCTTCTAGATCGAGAGAGGTATTACTACTACTCTATATGGCTGATGTGCCCACAACTGGAGTATTGTGCTCAGTTTTGGGCCCCTCATTACAGAAACAATATAGCCAGGTTAGAGTCAGTGCAGAGTGGGGCCACAAGTTTGATGGCCGGTTTGCAGGGGATGGGGTATGAGGCGAGACTGAGGGAACTGTGTCTCTTCAGCCTGGAGAAGAGGCGACTCAGAGGGGATATGTTGGCGACATACAGGTATGTGAGGGGATGTCACATGGAGGTGGGTAGAGGCCTGTTCTCCCCTGCAGAGGAAGGCAGGACGTGCTCCAACAGAGCAAAGCTCAGGGAACCAAAGTTCCATTTGGATGCCAGGAAGCACTTCCTGACAGTTAGGACCCCGAGGGTGTGGAATGGGCTTCCACGAGAGGTCGTTAAGGCCCCATCAGTGAGGGTGTTCAGAGATAGGCTGGACATGCACACGGTGGGCATGTCGTGAGCGGAGCCGGTTGGAGCCTCATGCAATGCCTTATCCCCTGGGCTCTTGGGAAGGGAGAATGAGTAACATGTAGCAACACTGCAATCATGGAACAGATTGTGTTGCTCTTCGGCTTGCTGGGATGAGAATTAAGGTGGTACAACAGGACAGTACATCTAAATACCATTATTTTACTCCAGACTCACAAAGAATGATTCACTTCATTATGCGTTTCACTGTAATGGCATTCAACAAAAGAATACATTCTGCCTGGGTTGCCACAGGTCTCTAAGAAGTACAGCGAGATTGAAGAGTTTTATCAAAGGCTGGCCATGCGACATCCACAAAGCGCACTGCCACTTCTGCCCAGGAAAGTGCTGTTCGTGGGAGAATCAGACATTCGGGAACGAAGAGTTATTTTCAATGAAATCATGAGAGCTATTGCCAAGGATGAAGATCTAGCAGCCAGCCCTGAGTTACTGGAATTCTTGGGTAATTTGAAAATGTGCTTCTTAATCCATGTAATTTATTCAAATACACAGGGGCTCACACCTTGAATAAATTGTGCAAAATTAATGTGTTCCATTTTTCCACCCTCTGAATTTCTAAGGCCAAGTCTGTGTTAAGTTCTCATTCCCAGATACTTTGAAAACCGAATGTGTAATACCGTGTGATTTACTTTCCTACAAGACCTGAGCTTCAGGTTCTAGAAAACAACAGTGACTCGTCATATAAATGTGAGACTTGCTTGTAAGGATTTAGATGTGTAAAATGCCTTCGGAACAAAATCTGACCTTGATTCCTAATCTGAGGGATGATCTCAATGATCTATGCTGGGTATGCATGCCTAATCAGAATTCCACACTGAAGTAGTCCAAATTCTGTTCCAAGAAAGTCTTTGCATGTATTTTCTTAATCAATTTGCATAATTTATTTTGGATCTTGTGATCATATGGAAAGGAAGGAGCTATATAGAATACAAAATGCCTTTGTAGACCACTATAATCTCATTTCTGAGATATGGGTTAGACACTTGATTTTGATTTTTTTAAAGAGTCAACCTCAAAACTTTGATTTCTTCATGAAATGCAAACAGCATGCTTATGCCAAGTGATGGTGGGATTGCATAAAACATACAGTCTGCTTGCATTGACTGTGATGCAGCTATGATGATGATGATGATGATGATGATGGATGCTGCTCAAGCCTGCAAGACTGGATGTCTAGTTAGTTAGAGAGGGAAAACGGCTTTAATCAGGACTGGAATTCAGTGGCAGTTAATCTTTTACCCAGTGAAATTCCTAACACTGGGCTTTAATGTCACTGCTGTTGTGCCTGAACGGAAGAAGTAATCCCTATCTCTGTTGTTTTTGCAAAGAAGAATTTGGTTTCTCTGTGCACTCAAAAGAGCTTAATTGTGGTGTGTCTGTGGCACTTTTGGAAATCCCACAGTGGGCTAGCTCAAAGGTGAAGGAATAACTTTCCATCCAGAATAGCCAAAGTGCAGTTTTACACACAGAAGGGAGCACCCCCTGGTTCTGCTTGCTTACCTGTCAGAGGCAAGTGATGTAGATGCAGACAGACAAGAACTGCTGCTGTTCTGCCTCACTCTATCCAGTTTTTGTTGCATGATTTCACAGGAACCCGATCTACCAGCATCGTGGACATCAAAGGTAAAAACCTTCCTGATAAGGAAGAGGAGGATGAAGACGATGAAGCCTTAGATTTCTTCAAGGAGGAAGAGGTGCCCAATATAATTCCCCAGCTCAAAACATCAAAAGCACAAGACGTGAAAGCGGGGAAAGAAGAGGACAAGGTGGAGGAGGAAGACGACGATGTGGACCCACTCGGTGTTCTCAAGTATGCCTTTTTCATGTTATTCTCCTTATAGACCAGGGAGAGGCAAGCACAACCAGGTGGAGGCCTCATAACCCCACGCCAGCCCTGTGCAAGCTGAATGACATTGTACAGGCAGAGGCAAGGCGACGTCCCCCGGTGCCTTGCAGTCCTTGGCAAGAAGCAGCCTTGCTGAGCACAGGTCGCTTCCCTGAGCCCCAGATGCTTTGCCTGCCTTGTGCCTTTGCCTGGGCAATGGATGCCGCACTGGAGAAGAGGCTCAGCCTGGCTTTGCTTGTCCTTCGCTTTTCCACGCAGGGAATCCAGTGTGGGACAAGCCAAGCCAACTCATCTGGCATGCGCAAGAGTTCCTCTGAGCACAGGCGAGTGTATTGCCAGGCTTGGCTGCAGAGTGTGTCTCCATGTCCCCGTCCCCACCACTCTTTTACTTTTGCACTTTGATCAGAGATAAGAAGGGGATACTTCTCCGCAGAGCTCTCCCTCAAAATTGGAGATGAGAAGTGGGTTTCTCTCCCCCACTTTCCCAATTTCCCTGCAGGGTGGCCTGCAGGGCAGCGGGCAATAACTTACTGAGTGGAGTGGGCAGAGCTTGCCAAAGGAGCCCAAACCTCTGTGGACTGGGTGGGCATCCTCACAGGCCAGAGGTTTCCCACCCATGCAATCTACCTTATGTGCACGCTTAATTCAAAACTGTATTTATTTATGTTTTACATTTACGTCCTGTCTTTTTTCTCTGGAGAGGAACCAAAGGTAGCTTATATTGCCAGCACCAGCTCCTTTTTTATCCTTGCGTCAGCAACACAGGCTGGAAATGAAGTCAGCTGCAAGGCTGAATGGCACCTGAGGCCTTGGGTCTCCCAAGTCCCCATGCACTACTTGAATCACTGCCTGCCACTGACACTGTTATTTTTTTAAGCATGTATTTTAGAGTCTGAGCAGCTATGCTGATTTGCTCTGAAGAAGAAACATCAAGCTCATGATGAGGGGAGGGCTGCAGCTCAGGATAAGCTTGCATGGGGAAGGCTGTAGATCCAGCCCCTATAGGGACCTCCAGTGGAGGGGCTGATAGGGTCCAGCCTGTCTTGAAGTGTCATTGCCCATTCAAGGAGACCATACAAGGGCAGCTTGGTAGATGAAACAAGGCGGAATCACATGGGAGAACCCCATGGTCTGCTATGCAAAACAACCTCTTAAAATCCTAGCCAGAGCTAAGCGTGGTTTTGCCCCTTTGATTTCAACAGAAAAGTTCAACACGGAATCAGCGAGGCTTCAATGTCCTTTGCTTTTGTCTCAGTTGTGCGTCTGTCCCCTCCTTTGTTTTTTGTGTGCTCTGTTCAGAGAGGGTCTAGACTGACAAAGAGCTCTCTGTAAATCCAAATCCTGAATCCAGCATTGAAAAAGCTGACACAACTTAAAGGCATTGTTTTGTTGTTCTTCTTCCTTTTGCTTTCTGCAAAACAGAAAACAAAAGAAAAAAGAAAGAGGAGAAGCATGAGAGTAAGTGGTACTGCTTTTCTTTTTACAACTTACACTAATAAAAAACAATAATTTGTTCTTCTGGATTTCTGTGGAAACTAGAAAGAATATTCTTTAGGATGTGTATGTATACACACACTTAAGTGTGCATTTGAATTTTGAATATGTTTAAATTTAAAAGCATTCTCCATTTCTGTGCTTGGCATTTTAAAATAGGTGATCTTATTGAGCCTAACATCTTCTGATGTTCAGCATTCAGGTAAGAAATGCTGTGATCAGAACTGTAAGATGCCGAAGGCAGAGAGTTGTAGAAGACCTACATCGAAGGGTCAGTAATCTTAAGGAACTCTTCCAAAGATGGCATGTGGCATCTTTTTCTTCCTCAAAAGCCACAGCAAAAGGGTGATTTTAAATAGGGACCAGCAGACTGGGAAAACAATTATACCTGCAATTATTTCTTGATGCAAACCCTCTTCCCACCACCACCGTTAACAATCCCAGTTGCGCTGAGCCGTGGAGAGGAAAACACACATGCTCTTGAGTTATACTTTCTAACACATTTAATGTCAGATGAATGCTGCATGAGGGCTTCATTTGCATTAATGCATTAGCACAAGGGGGAAATGTTAAACTCTGCCTTCCTCAGTGTAGCAGCCCTAATGGACTCTTCCTCTACTCCTTTCAAGTGGCACCTTTTAGGAAAATGCAGTGATGTTGGCAAACTCAATCGTAGATTGCATGGTGCTTGTGTCGCTTGGTTCCAAGTGGGTTATCTTTTTCTCAGTCTAGTCATTGCTGAATTTTGAGCATAATTCATGCAACAATGTTCAGAAATTGGAGCTGTTCAAAATGGGAACTGGTCCCCTCATATTTCGTAATTCAGAAACCCCTCCAATCTAAAGACAATAAACTAGCTCAGTATTCTCCAACCTGGCGCTCTCCAGTTCTGATGGACTACAGCTGCCAGCCAGCATGGCTGGCTGGGGGATATTGGAAGTGTCTGAACAGAGCAGTTCAGGAAGGCTGAGATAGATGGTTGTTTATGATGAGAAATCGGATAAAAATTTTTTTTTGTGCAATGGTCCTTGGCTGTAAGGATATTCCAAAGAACCTGCCCTTTTTTGGATAGGAAAATGGTTTTTTGAATTCAGTGTTGAGTATAAGTAATAAGGAGGAGGAAATGGCCAAAACAAGCCATTGGCTTACTCCCCCAATTCTATTTGCCCCGGTTTGATTTTACTTACAAGTATTTTGGGCAGGCTCCAGAAGATCTTTGGGGAACTTCATGTCCAGAGAAGGGCCCCTCATCCCAAAGCATTGCTTTCTCGTCCATCAAGAGACCCCTGAAACTTGGATGAACTTTGCAAGCAGCCTTTGATACAGGATACTGTGGCCCAAACTGAAGCAGCTACGTGGGCCTAAACTACCCTGGGGTAGCCCCTTTTTCAGAACTGAATTTAATTCCCATAATTTAATTTGTGTGCATGGTTCCTAGCCCTACCACGGGCAAGTTGGCAGGTTTCAAGGTGATTTCATGATAGTGTTCAAGTATCAAAATGTAGTTCTGGGGCCTAGGAATTAGTTACCAGAGATGGTAGTTACCCTTATGGATTAGATTCAAATCCTTAGCGGTAACTACCAGCCTGGACAGCTAGCATAGGACCAATAGATGTTAAGAACTCTTGACAGTCTGGATCACTCCTAATTTATCCTGGTTTATTATCCTTGTCTTTGAACCAGATTGAGCGTTTCACATCTTCCCCTGCTCTGATTGACTGTGGGCCATATTCCCACCTCCACCACTGCTACTCTGGGTTCTAGTCCCCGCTCAGCCATGGAGCCAACTGGGTGACTTGGGCCAGTCACAGACTCTCAGCCCAGCCTACCTCACAGGGCTGTTGTTGTGGGGATAAGATTAAGAGTAGAAAGAGGAGAATGATGTAAGCCGCTTTGAGCTTGTTGTAAGAAAAACACGGGATATAAATAAATAAATAAATAATAGGGCTGAAAAGAGGGGGGTGGTGGTTATAGTTGTAGTTTGCCTCCAAAATGAGCTAACTCTGTCCATAGCTTAGAATGGCAAAAAATAGAATTAAGTGGCTCATACTAAGCCTCTGTAATGGTTTGTCACTGAATTTGGGTAGCAAACAGTGGCTTTTAAAACATTTTCCAAGTAAAAATGAAATAGGCTAAAGGTGTGAAGGGCATGCAGCCCATGGGCCACTCTTCTTACCTATACCCTTGCTCGCCTCCTCCCTGCCTGGCCGCCCCAATCTCCTCCTGAGGATGAGAAATAGGCGAGCATGCACAGTGTTCTACCCTATGCTCTCCTGCTTGGGCAATTAGCAACTCCCAGGCTGTTACTAGCTGTGTGAACTGGCCATGCTGGCTGAGATTGAAGGGGGCTGCAATCCAATGCACCTGGAAGGCAGCAGATTGGGGAAAGATGACCTAGTTAAGCCATGGAAGAGGGCTTGGCTGGGCCATTAACCAGTGCCCAGTCCTGCTTCTAGCACCAGCTGCTTGTAAGACCCGCCACTGCTAAACGACAACGTTTGTCCATGCTGTGATACACCTTTTGTGCAGCATTGTGGTTTTCCTCTCGCCCTCCCAAGCATATACCACCCCAGCAGTATGCTTTTATCAGGCAACCACATAATAATAAAAAAATAGATTGTGAAAGTAGTTTTTAACCAAACAAGTTGATTTTCCCAGGGAGCCCACCTCCTGTATGATTTAAACATCTCAAATATTTGCAAGGTAGTTGTAAGTTTTAAATGTGTTTTTTTCTCGTCTTGTCTAGACACTAGAACAGTGTGTGCAACCCTCTTATCAGGAGGGTTGTCTGATGTGGAAGTTAAAAAGGTGACCCCTTCTTCTGTTTGTCCAGCCTTCTGTCTGTCCAGCCTTCCATCTGTCTGTCCATCCGTCCTTCTAGCATTAGCAGAGAACCATTTTCTTTGAGCAGTGAGTGTCTGTATGTAGATGCTAGAATTTACAAATGCATATGTGAGGCATTGTAAAAATTGCATCACTGTCCACATATATTTCAATATAGCCCACATTTTTCAGGAGGAGAAGCTATTACTCATCTGGTGTGTGATCCGTACATAGCAACACACACACAAAGGCCCTCCGAAGGCACTCAGTTTACAATTACAAGGCTTAATACCAGTTGGACAGCTTCCCACATGAACTATTTAACTCAGTCTTGTTTTGTCAAAGACTTCCCAAGCACCCAGCCAGCATTCCCATAGCAATAGTTTCGAATCCATAGTGCAGCAGAGTGGGGAGAGACCATACCCATCACTGTGTATGGTATAACAACCCATTTGTCTCCTAACTGCGAACTGTAACCGAGTAGCAAGCTATCGGATCTCTTGCCAGGTGAGAAATACACAGTTTCTCAAGAAATAACTCTGCATTGTAAGAGGGCAGAATCCTAACCTTGGCTACCCTCATTGTGATGATGCGTTAGGGTGCATTTATATAGCATTTCTTCTTCGCAAAAGCTTCACAGTTTTATT